GTCTATCAATACATGAGGGCTGGGGGTCAAGAAGGAAGTGACAAGCTCCTGTCACTTGTGCCCTGGGACAGGATGAGGGGCAAGGGGCACAAACTGGAGCCCAGGAAGTTCCACCTCCACATGAGGAAGAACTTCTTTGCTGTGAGGGTGACAGAGCCCTGGGACAGGCTGCCCAGAGAGGCTGTGGAGGCTCCTTCTCTGGAGACTTTCCAGACCTGCCTGGATGCCTTTCTGACTGACCTGCTCTGGTTCTGGTCCAGCTCTGGCAGGGGGCTTGGACTTGATGATCTTCAGAGGTCCCTTCCAACCCCTGACATCCTTTGATCCTGGAGGGGTGTTGGAGGTGTGTCCATCTGCTGGAAGGTTCATTTGGTGCTTCACATGGACAGGAGGCTTTAAAAAGGTGGTTCTTTTTCGAGGGGTGTCCATCTGCTGGAAGATTCATTTGGTGCTTCACATTGACAGGAGGCTTTAAAAAGGTGGTTCTTTTTCTTTTTTTTTTTTTAAAACAAATGTTCTACAGTCTAATCACTGTGTGCCATGGAAGCCTGAGCTTCATCAGTACCTAATGGCACATTTGATTATTGAAAACAGAACTGTAATACACCTAATTAGTTTCTCATCGTTAATGTATTGATTTTCCTGCTTAAAAAAAAATAAAAATAATCAAACTAGATAGGTCACTTTCATTTTTATTTATAGCTGGTTTTACTTTGCCCTCCTCATGCAGATGTTCAATAGTGCAGGCCAAAGAGAGGTGCAGTTTTTGATCGTTTACTTCCAATTCTTCCTAGGTTAAAATAATCTAAACTTCATGGCTGGATTTTAAAATAAGCTTAAAGAGTTTAGAGGCTTAAATGTTCTTAAGAGTTCAAAGCAATTTGATTGCATGACCTCTTTTTAAAAGCCATTGTTCATTCGTGGGGGGATTTTTCAAAAACACTTATGGCCCTGATCAAAAAAATCAAATCCCCCAATAGTTTTATGAGGTGGGCATCAACCCTGGGAAATTAAGGGAAGTAAAACATTCAGGGGATTTCAGGCAAGTGTCCCTGTGCAGCTGAGCTCAGTGCTGGGAAGAGATTTTTTAAAGGAAGGTATTGATAGGCTTGTGTCCTCACCACAGCTCTGGTGATTTAATGACAGTGGTTTGGTGGCAGTTGTAGAAACTCATTTGTGTGCTTCCAATCCATGTATGTGCTTTAAATTAATGTCTGTGCTATATATTCATGTATGTGCTTTATATTAATTTGTTTTGTATTCATGTATGTGCTATATATTCATGTATGTGCTTTAAATTCATGTATGTGCTTTATATTCATGTATGTGCTTTATATTATGTGCTTTAAATTCATGTGCTTTAAATTCATGTATGTGCTTTATATTAATTTATGTTTTATATTAATGCATGTGCTTTGAAGTCATGTATGTGCTATATATTGTTTAGCATGGGAGGAACCAGCTGTAGCACAATCAACTGCTTTCCACTGGACTAAATGACCAGATGAGAGTGACCAGATGCTTTTTATCTTGCTTTTTAAAAATCATACTCCTCACTGGTGTTGATACTTGTCAAAGGCATGTAGAGATTAGCTCAGTCTTGAGTCTCCTTGAAAGACCAAAGGAACTCTTGAGCAGCTCAGCTGTGCCTCAGAGGTGCTGGCACTGCTGTGTTGGCACCAGGTCCTTCCCACCAGCTCAGCATTAGCACTTGGATGGCAGAGCAGTGGGAGAGCTGGTGCCCACCTCTCACTCCTTGCCCAACAAGGTTTTCCCAATAATTAGTCATTGGCTGCACCTTAAGCCCATTCCCTCATGGTGTGTGTGGCACAGGCAGGGAGCAGATTGCTCCCACCTCCAGGGACACTTTGGGAAGACCATTGCCAGGAGCCCAACACTCTTCCAGCTTCTTCTGATTTGGGAGTTTGGAGCTCCAGGAATGAGCTTCAGAGATTCTGGGAGGGACCATGAGCCCATGGAGCCAAAGCTGCTTGACCAGCTCTGATTTATTTGTCGTGTCATCTCCTGCATGAACACTGAGGGGCTGAAGGGGGGCAGGTAAGAGGAAGGGCTGTTGAAGGTCTGTGTGGTCCCTCATCTGCTGCTCTGCCGTGGGGCCTTGGAGGCAGCCACAGAAAATGGGACTGACACAGGGCATTGCCAAGAAAGTGGCTTAAAATGGGACACACTGGACCCAGAGTGGTGGGAAGGAGGGTGAAGGAGGCAGCAAGGGTGGTACTGAGCTGTGCCATGCCTGGACAGCTGAGCAGAGCCCAGCAGCACCACTGCACCAGCTGGGGCATGGAAACCTGAGCTCAGGTGGGGCCTTGGGGTGACAACAGTGGGAGAAGGTCCTGAGGCCTCCCAACACTAATAGTGGGATTTTCACAGGATCATGGAATTGCCAGGGTTGGAAGGGACCCCTAGAGATCACCCAGCCCAGCTGCCCTGCTAAAGCAGGATCCCCTGCAGCCCATCACCCAGGGCTGCATCCAGGCAGGTCTGGAATATCTCCAGAGAAGGGCACTCCCCCCCCTCCCTGGGCAGCCTGTCCCAGGGCTCTGGCACCTTCACTGTAAAGAAGTTTTTCCTCATATTCCAATGGCACTTCCCATGTTCCTTTGCCCATTGCCCCTCGTCCTGTCCCTGGCACTGCTGAGCAGAGTCTGGCTCCAACCTCCTGCACCCACCCTGAGATACTTCCTGGCATTGATCAGGTCTCCCCTCAAACTTCTCCTCTCCAGGCTGAACAGCCCCAGCTCTCCCAGCCTTTCCTCATCAAGGAGATGTCCCAATCTCCCAATCATCTTTGTTGCCCTCCCCTGGCCTGTCTCCAGCAGTTCCCTGTCTCTCTTGAACTGGGGAGCCCAGAACGGGTCCCAGTTCTCCAGATGTGGCCTCACCAGGGCAGAGGAAGAGAATGACATTTCTCAACCTACTGGCCACACTTTTCCATATGCACCCCAGGTCCACCCCTAACCTGCACTGGTGCAGGAGGTTCTTCCTCCCCAGGTGCAGGAGGTCCTTCTCAGCCCAGCTCTCCAGCCTGCCCAGGTCACCCTAGATGGCAGCACAGCCCTCTGGGGTGTCACCACCCCTCCCAGTTTGGTATCATCTGTTAACTTGATGAGGATAAGGTTAATAATTAATAATTGTATTTTAATTATATAAGTAAAATAATTAATAGATAAATTTAATTAGCTCGGGAAATGGCCCTAGCATGAGAAACTTGTGTGTGTGTGTGTGTGTGTGTGTGTGGTTTTGTCCGGTTTGTGTCTTTAGGGCATGGGAAGGTCCCAGGATCCCACAGCTCTGGGAACAGAGGGAGGTCTGTAGGGATGGGTGGGAAGGAGGAGGGTGAGGGCAGCCAGGAGGGCATGTGGGACTTGGTGCTGTGGAGTTAAGCAGGTGCCAAGGTGTGTTCCTGACCTGTCAAGGTGGAAATTGCTCCTCTTGGGTTCAATCACAATTTCAGACACAATTCTCTTTGGACTCCTTGAAATCTCTGCTCTGCAGTGATTTTGTGATGACCTTGGCCAGTGTGCAGGCAGCCAGGGAGCTTGGGCCCCAGGCTTCTTCATGACCAGGTGATCCCCCACTTTCTTTGTTCTACAAGTTAGGAGAGGGAGCATCATTGTGTTGTGTGATCATCGGGTGCTCCTGCAGTCCCCAGAATCCTGCAGATCAAGAGTCAGCAGATAAATGAGCCCATGGTAACACAAGATCCTGCTGCACTACTAGATTTTTGTCACTGAGACGTTTCCACCAGCCAAACCCAGGTGATAAGGATCAAAGCAAAGAATGTAAAGCTCCTGGTTATTGCAAACAGGGGATTTGTTTTGCCTAGACCATTTTTACAGCCCTGCACAACCAAGGCTCTTGTTCCTGCTTCCCCCTCAGTTCTCCTTTAGGAAAGGACAAGAAAACTCATTTTCTCCATGTGATTTTTGTTCATTTTTTTCCCAAACAACCCTCTCTCCAATAGTTTAAGACCAACTTAACCCATTCTTCATTATGACCTAAATACTATCCACTGGACATGGTGAACTTGCTTCCTGTACCCAAGGGGTGGGATGGTGGGTCCCTCATCACCTTCAGGACCATGAGCATCACTTCAGTGTGGCCTTTCCTTGCCCATCACCCAAATCCCTTCCAATGGGTTCCCCTGGGAAAAGGACCCAGCTCTCAGTGTAGGAAACAGGGCACGTGTTGCTGGCAGGGGGAGATGCTGGTTTTGAGCCAACTCCCCTCAACGAGGCCTTTTGACTACCTGGCAGTTCTGGTCAGAGAGCCAAAAGATTTGTTTGTTTTCTTTCACTTTTGGCTACCCAAATTGTTTTTTCTCAAAACAAAACAAAGGAATATTGGTTTTGGCTTCTGTAGGATGAAAAATAAGTTTGGTTGATGAAAAGAGCTTGATGAATGGGGGCAAAAGTCAAACAAAACATTGGATAAATTAAAATCATTTCACCAAAGGGTTCATGCAATAAAAAAAAATCCCCTAAGGGAAGGTTTTGAAAATCAAATTCATTAGTAAGCCTCTTTTTTTTTTTTTGTTTAATTGTCAGAAGTGATGAGGTCTGGTCTAAAATGGCCTTTGCAAGCCAAATTCTGGCTGCCCCTCCAGTGGTGCTCTGAGCTCCCACAAGCAGCCCTGTCACCTCTGGAGCTGGACCCAAGGACACCTACAGCCTTTGCACCTGCCTTTGTTTATACAGACAGGGAGCTAAACCCTGGGCCCACCAAAGGGAGCAGCCAAAGCTGCAGGTCATGTCATTGGGATGAAGCTGCTGTTCCCAGCTTCCTCTTCTGGATGGACACATCCCCTCATGTGACAGAAAACAAAGCAACGAGAAAGAAAAATACCAGAACCAATCGTGTTTTGGCACAACTGTTTTTTTTTCTTTTCCCCCCTGTATTTCCCTCCCCCTCCCCTCTACTGATAAGTAAAAAAAATATATATTATATTTTCCTTTTCTTAAATTATTTCTCTTGCAGCCTCAGTCCCAGCCAAAGTCCTGGCCTGTCATCTGGTAGAACTTCATGTTGAAGGGCCGGTAAAAGTCCCGCAGCCTCTGCACCACCTCCTGGTCTATGTCAGGGTGGGTCCTGCCTTTTGTCTTCCCCAGGCAGTGGGGTTTGCTGCTGCCTTCTGCCTTCTTCAGGCACGGGAAGCCCTTGGTCTTGTTGAAGTAGAAGTGTTTGTCGGTGATGATTCTCTTGAGGCCCAGGAAGTCCTGGACCCTGCCCAGCTCCCCCGCGGGGTCGCTGATCAGCCTCTCCCCGCTGACAAAGAGGAGCTGCCCGATGGGGAAGTAGAGGAGCCAGTTCTCCAGGTGCTTGGCATAGATGCCGATCTGGATGGCGCTCCAGGAGGTGTCGATCAGGCCCGTAGTCCTGTTTTTGAAGGTCAGGCTCTCAAAGGTGGGGATGTCGGGCTTCTTGGAGAGCGTCTGGGTGTAGTCGGAGATGGCTCTGGTGACGGGGTCCCGCACCACCACGATCAGCTTCGTGCCCCTGCACATGGAGGAGATGCGGGCGGGGGCCTCCTTGGTGACAAAGTAGCTGGGGGTCTTCTCCATGGTGATCTGCCCCTCCAGGGTCCTGGGCATCAGGTCCCTGAGAGAGGGAGAGAGGGACGTGTTAGTGCCAAACGCCCCTGGATGGGGTGAGGGGGCCTTGTGCTCCAGGGATGTCCCAGGATGTCCCAGGTACCCAGGGCAGGATGCTCCTGAGCCTCAAGCTTCCAGCACAGCTTTATTTCCCCCTTCTGTGGGTGATCAGGAGGCCCATCATGTTCTGACTTAGCAAAGCACCTGAACACTCTCCTGATTTCCCACCTCCTTTGGGTGCCCATTTCCTTGGAGTTACACCTAAAGCCATTTTGCCTTTGCAAGGCTTCTAAAGAGCTTCCTGAGGGGGCTCCCACTGCCCTTCTTGCAGCAGCACTGTAAGAACTGAACACACCTCTACAATCCTGATGTCCTGGCCCTTTAAATTCCTCCCTGCCCACCCTGGGGCTTCCTGCACCTTTGGCTTAAATTCCCTGGAATAACAGTGAAGTTCTCAAGTAACAACCCTCCCTTCCTGCAGGGCACAAGGGATTTTCCAGTGCCAGGAGGAAAGCCTCTATCTTTTGGTCTTTTCCAGGTGGCAGCAAGCTGATGTCACAGAAAAATGTGCAGTATCAGCCCCCTGACCTCAGCGATTTCCTTCTTCCACCCAAAGAAATCCTACACACAGGCTGCTTTGGGAAGCTCTCCCAGCTGTGGCTGGGAAGGGGCTTGGGGCTTGGGCCAGGGTCCATCCTGCTCCATGAGGTCCATCCTGCTCTTGAGCATCCAGAGCCCTCCTGGGCAAGGCATTGGGTGGGATTTGCTAAAGGACCACAGGATTTGACCTGAGATCCTCTATGTTCAGGCAAGCCAGGGAGGTGTAGGAGCCATAGGGGTGCTCCCAGCTCCTCTCCTTGCTCCTCCCTTGCCTTCTACACCACATCCTAACCCTTCACATTCACATCACCCCTGGAAAGAACCATCTGCAAAAAAAACCCCCAGTGATTCACACCATCATCATCTGGTTACTCAAATCCATCTCTCCTTCCAGGCTCTCAGCCTGGTCTCCTACCAACAGTCGGGTCCTTCCCGGTGGGAAGGGGAGATGGATGGGAGGTGCAGCAATGGTCACTGCTGGGCCACCAGCAGTTCTCATGGCAACTGCAGCCCCGAGTCCTGAGGAGCAGGGACCCACAACCCCCCCATGCCCTGAGCCCTTGTCTTTGACCTCCCCAGGGTGGTGACACCCGTGAGCCACCATGACCTGCTCCCTGCCTGCCTCCCTGTCAGCATCCTGCAGCAGCAACACCTGGTTTGCAAACCAGTGCAACATGCCAGCTAAATTAAACTCATCTATCAAAAAAGCAACAGTGAAAAGCCAACAACAGCTAAAAACACCAATAACAACCAAACCCCAGGCTGATTCCTTGTGTTACAAATGAGGCAGCGAGGACCAAACCCTTCCTCAAGCACTGCTTTCTATTTGCAACCACATTACATAGAGGCTGAGCAAAGACATGGTCCTAGAGAAGCCACATCTCTGCTGGGGCTTTCTGTTTGGGGTGGAACTGCATGTATTTGGGACATTCAGGCTGGAGAAGAAAGGAGCTGAAGGGTATGAGAGCTCTGGTGCATCCTGAAGGATGTGGCCAAGGACGGGCTCAAAGCCAGCACGAGGACACCTTTGCCCAGCAGGCACCTAATTGTGCAGTGGGATTTGCCATCACCTGGTGCTGAGGCCAAGCATGTAAATGCTTCAGAAACAGGCTGACCAAAGTCATCCTGGATGAAGTGAGTTGGTGGCAACGAACCGTGGGTGTCCCAGCACCACTTCAGCCCTGGGGACCCCCCACCCCGACTGCCCTCAGCCGGGCGGAGGGAACAGGAGAAGGACCTCACAAGCCACCACTTTCACACACTTTGCTGTACAGGGCTGATGCCAGCCACCCTCTGGGAGAAGGTGCTGTCCTGGGCAGCACTTCGCTCTGGCCCAGGGCAGCTGCTCACGTGGTGCTGTGCTCAGGAATCGCCTCTTTCCCGCACGTGCAACAAGCCCACATTTCTCAGGCGCTGCTTGTTGCCCTCTGCTTTGGGAACTACACAACAACTGAGACACCTGAAAGCTCCTGAACTCCCAAAAGGGTGAAGGAACCAGGTCGTGGTCTCCTTCCCACTGCTCCTGGCTGCTCCCTGTCCCTGTTCCACAACCTCCTGCAACTCCAAAGCGCTGGGAGCAGGAGCTGCTGATGCGGCAGCACTGGGAGGCAGCAGGAAGGCAGGAGGTGCTGACTCCTGTTTGTCTTAAGTGTTGAAATCTCCGCTGTGTCTTCACAAGGAGGAGAAGATTTAACCCTTTTCCTGGTGAGGCTGTGACACAAAAGCTTTCTTCAGTGCCCAGGAATGAGCAGGCAGCTCTGCTGGCAGGGCCGGCAGGCAGGGCCAGGCCAGGAGCCACAGGGAATGTGCTACCACAGCTTTTGGGAGATTAATTAATTACAAAGGGCATCTTTCATGGACGTAAACAGTTGCCTGGAGGCCTCCCTGGACTAATGGCATCTGGGTTTTATTGCAAAAGAGCCACTTGAAAAGACAAGAACCACAAAAATGTTTTTGGCAAGAGCAGCCACCAGTGGGCCCTGCCAGAATAAATGGGTTCTGTTATTTTAATTTTAGTAGAGCTCGGGGCTTTATTTAATTACTTAATAGGGGAGGAAGACTTTCCTCAAAGGGAGCATTTCAGCTCTGCATGCATATTCATATCTGGCCTTTCCCAGCTCTGTGGCCCGAGCTGGCTGTTCCCAGCCCCAGCCCCTGGACGTGGCTCCTGGGGCTGCTCCTGGGAGCTGCAGCCCCTTCCCCACCTCAGTGGGCTTTGCAGAACACTTGGGCCATGCAGCAGTTTGGGTTTGTCTCCCCTGCGAGCTGCTGCAGCAAACCCTGGGTGGGAGAGGAGCAGTACAGGTGGGCTGTGGGTGACACTGGGCACAGGGACCAGCGATGCCCACCGTGCTGCTCTGGGGCTTCCTGATGCACCCTGAGCTGCTGGGCCTTGACACTGGCACTTTAGTGCTGGGGTCACATCAGGACATCCCAGTAACAGGCTCCCAACCCTCAGACACACCTGGTGTCACGTTTATTATGGCTTTTATACCTCTTTGTGGGCTGTACAGTGATGCCTTTAAAATCTCACCCTGAAGTTTCCCAGGGCAGGCAGGGGGTTGGCTCAACCCCTGCCTGGGAGATCAGAGTCCTCAGAGACACCACCAGAGCTCAGGTCCCTGTTTTTAGCAGGAGGACAACTCTGGGGAAGAAAGTGTCACTTCATGTCAAGAAACCAGAATAACATCGGGCTCCCTCCTCACAAGGCTGAGCCCTCAAGGCTTGTGTTTCTGGAAATTCAGCTTGGAGGAACAGATGCAATAGCATGTGTTGGTGGGGGCTGCCACCAGCCCTTGCTGGGTACCCCCTCAGCTCCCTCAGGGGATGGGAAATAGGTTACAGTGGTTTGCCTCAGCTGACCTGTGCTGCTCCAAGCACCAACAGAAGCTGGTGATTAGTGAGACAACAAGAACTGGTTGTTCCAGAAATGAGATTTTTGGGAGGGGACAGCCTGTTTCATGCAGGAGGAGCAGCCCCTGTGCTGCTGTTTCCCACACAGGTGGGAGCAGCTTTCGGTCAATGGAACCAGAAAACTCGAGGTGAGTTTATTATTTTGTCTATCTGCTGCTTTGTTCCCAGCTGGACAAAGCCATGTCCTGCTCAGGACCTCCCGGGCTCCTTGGCAGTGAGCAAGGCACAAAAAGCAGCTGTGGATGTACTTGCTACAAACCTTTCCCACATAAATCTAGTCCAGATCTCCCCCAGAGAGAGGCTGAAGTTGGCAGATAATGGCAGCTCTTCTCCAGGCCTCCTCACACCACCACAACCCAGAGCAATAAATAAAGCTGCTGTGATTCCAGCAACTGGCCCCACGTGGCCTCTAGCAACCCAGAAGGTGAGTTCCTTCTCCCTGGCAGTCCTAGTATGACTTTTGTAAAATAATCAGCCTGTTGGAGCCTGGGTATCCAGGGTGGCTGGGCAGAAATGCTCATGCAGCCCATGTCCCTGCAGGATGCAGCGCCTCCGCTGCAGAGTCTTGCTCACCTTCTCCATGAGTGCATGGCCAGGCCTAACTTGAGCTCATCTGCAGCAGAAAAGTGAGTTTGAGCACTAGCTGAAAGGGCAGTTGCAATATGAGCGAGGAGGAGGAGAGTGAGGATGCAGAGAACAGGGCTGGCCCAGTGCTGGGGTTTGCAGCTCATGGCGACACAGCTCCTTGGTGCCAGAGCAGGGAGCAGCTCCAGCTGGATGAGGAGCAAAGGGCAAGGTCACCTGCCCAACAAATGCTGGTGTCCTGGTCCCAGGAGCTGCCTTCTGAGGGTGGCAGGGATGTGGGCCCCTTCCCAGGGCAGCCCCAGCCCCAGAGGGGCTGCACCAGCAGCAGACACAGCCCAGGTACAGCCTGAGCAAACCCACCATCCCGGGATGCAGAGACAGGCGCGGCCAGAGCATCCGCAGGGCAGTGACACCTTGGGGACACTGCTGGTGTCCCTGGAGCCCTCCAGCACCCCTGGGCTGCCTTCAGGCTCTCCTCACCCATCTGCAGCAGCCCTGAGGCAGTGCAGAGGAGCTGCCCCTGCTCAGCCCTTTCTCCAGCACTCCCACCCTCACCCTTCCCCTCGGCCGCCCTCCCGCTGCCCCGGCTGCAGCCCGAGGGGCTGGGAAGGAGCCACTGGATGAAGGATGGGAACCAAGTGGGAACGTGAAGCCAGAGCTTCACACAGCCTGTTCACACAGAGCTGGGCTTTCCCCAAGGTGCTGGTGATTCCAGCTGTCAGGATGTCCCCATCACACAGCCTGCAAGCTGCAGGGGGTTATGAGATGCAGCAGCCGCAGAGGGCACTGCCCACCCTGCCCTGCACCCCAAGACCTTCCCCCCACAGCCTGAGCTGGGGGGCACCCTGCTCCAGCCTTCAGGTCCCTTTTCTGTCTTTGCCTCACTAGCCTGAGCTGCTGGTCTAAGCAAGGAAATGATGGGGAAGGAAAAACCCCTGGCAAAGATCAGCAGATCTGAGGAGCCTCCCAGTTCCCATGGCTCAAGAGGAGCTGGCAACGGGTGAGATCAACACCTCTGAGCTTCTTCAAAGCCAAAATCTGCTCTCTGTTACTTTTTGCCCTGCTCAGCTTCAACCAGCTGAAGTTTGGGTTTGCTCCAGGCTCCACAGCCAGGGTCTGGACCCTCCCAAACTGTTGGAAAAGGAAGTCCCTTGTGGTGGCAAAGGTTCTTATGGAGGAAGGGCCACCAAAGAGGTCATCGCAGGAACAACCATATCACAGAAATGCTGCTCCTTCTGAAGGAGCCCAACAGATCTGAAAATCAGCTGCAGGATCTTGGATCCCACAGGAGAGTCTTTTGGCCAAGGAAGGGCCAAATCTGCTTCCAGAAACTCAACACAGGGTCACAAGGAGCAAACCCCCATCCCGAGTCCTGCCCTGGCACCACAAAGCCACAGCGTGGTTAAAAATGAAACTGGTTTGTTCTTGCAGAATGATCTGGTCTTTGTGTATGGCAGGAAGAGAAGGAGAAGAAAGAAGACATTCCCTTTATCTTGAGGACACAGCAGTGCTCCAGGCTTGAAGGAAGCCCCTACTCCAGCAACAACCCAAAAACCTCTCACCTCTCCAAAGAAATGCTGCCAGAATTTCTGTCACCAGGATGGGGCCCATAAGGCAGCTGGGAGTCCTGGGGGAAACATGGAGCCTTCTCAGCATGAAACTACTGAACAAGGAGGTTGGGGAAACTGAGGCACAGCAAGCACTGCAGCTGGATGCAGCCTCAGGCCCTGAAGCAGCTCCCTGGGCTACAGCAGCCACCAGCAAGCTGTCTTCTTCTCCCCTCACCACCATTTCTCTTTCTCTTCCAGATCATTTAAAGTAGTGCCTCTACCACAGATACTTATAAAAAAACTCCCAGAAGCATCAGGAGGTGATTGAAAAGAAAGATGCTCTGGCAAGACTAACTTGACATAACCTAGAGTGTGTATGTACATACAAATTAAAAAAGCACTGCCTAAAGAGATGTCCTTGTCCCTCCCATGTGTCTCAGCCCAGGCTGCTACCCTGGCAGCTCAGGGAAGGCTCTGAGTTTGCTCCAATGAGCTGTGAGGGCACATCAAAGTTAGCTGAACATCCTGCTTTGGTTTCCTTTAGATGTCAGGTGGAATCAATACATGGAAAGATACGTTTCAGGGAATTGAAAAAAAAATACCTTCAAGAAAAGCTGTGGGACTGAGG